ATTGTCATGACTCCGGCGCAACTCCTGCTGCATGTCTTACTTTCATTGTAGTTAATCCTGCACACTTATCTCAACATATAGGTTAGACAACAAATGACAATTGACTTCATCATCAAAATCCGAGATTCAACATGTCTTACTATCATCATAGTTAATCCTGCACATGTAAGACAAACTTCGATCTAGACAATTAATACTAAGCATTAATCAAGTTGTCCGGCATGTCATTGGCCCCTCGATGTTTCGTCCGATTCTTCGGCGCATCGTCCTCTCCTGCGGCTTATTGCCCAATCGGCCAGTTGACTCCGCAACTCCAATACCCTCAGCGCAATACCTGCTCTTCATGGCCCGATGCCCGAATCCACGGCCTGAAGCCTTCTATCGATATGTCAACCGATCCACCGACCCGACGTCCAATCTTCTGACATGTCCCTCCAACCCAACATGATTTTTCCTGCTTTAATTGTCTCATCCTGATCGAAGCATCCTACGTCACTTAAAACACAGATTAAAATATAAACACAATTATCAATTGGTTTCATCATCAAAATACAAGATTCAACACCCTTCTCTTCTCAAATCCACGCCGGCTGCAGCTAAGTTTTCCTCATTTAGTTAAGTTTTCCTTTAGTTTCTTCTCTAATTGTATTAGGTTTAGCTAATACAAGACTTGCAAGGTGACAAGCATGTATGAAAGAAGCCTATGTGTCATCCTTAGAATAAACATAGGTAGCACCAACCTTAGGTTAACTAGTGACACATGTCCACCATTTGTTTTTTAACTTAAATCTGAATCTTTCATAAATAATATCAAATTTTTAATATTCACTTTTAGGTCCCTAGCCATAAACTTCTAATATAAAATTATTTAATACAAAAGAATTATTGGCTAATCCTCATATTTACAAACAAACATCTATAGAATTTTCAAAAATGGGGGATGTTATAACTGCTACATATTTAGTCTCAATTGTAGATAATGCAATAGAATTTTATTTCCTAAAAGACCAAGAAACAGTGAATAACCTAAGAGTTGATATGTTCCAGATGTACTTTTTCTATCTATTCTACATCCTCCAAAATCAGCATCGGCATAAGTAATCAATTCAAGATTTTTAGTTTTTGGATACCATAATGCTATATTAGATATTCCTTTCAAGTATCTAAATTTTTTAAAAATAGCTTTTATATGAGATTGTTTGGGATTAGATTGAAATCTACTATAGAGTCCAACACTAAACATAATATCAGGTCTAGTAGCTAGGAGGTATAGTAAACTACCTATTATACCTCTATAAGTCTTTTGATCAAAACATTCTCTATTAATGTCCATATCTAATTTTGTAGAAGTGTTCGTTGGTGTATTAATAGCCTTAGCACTGTCCATATTAAATCATTTTAATAAATCTAAAGTATACTTAGTTTGATAAACAAATGTTTCATCACTAAGTTGCTTAATTTTCAATCCTAAGAAAAAAGTTAATTCACCCATTAAACTCATTTCGAATTCTTGACTTGGCAAAAGATTTACATAGACTCATTTGAAGAACTGAAAATGATACCATCAATATAAATTTGAACTATAAGAAAATTATTTTTAAAATATTTAATAAACAATGTGGTATCAATCTTGCATTTCAAAAAATCATTCTTAATTAAAAAGAAACTAAGTCTCTCATACCAAGCCCTTGGAGCTTGTTTCATAGAAAGTCTTAGACAATTTAAAAACATGATTCAGAAAAGTAGCATTCTCAAATCCGAGTGGTTGTTCAACATAAACTTCTTCAAAAATAAAGCCATTACGAAAATTACTTTTAACATCTATTTGAAATAACTTAAAATTATTCTAACTAGCATAGGCAAGAAGTATCCTTATGGCTTCTAATATTATCACAAGAGTGAATGTTTCTTTATAATCGATATCTTCTTCTTGGTTGAAACCTTTGGACACTAATCTAGCCTTGTTTCGAACTACGATACCAAGTTCATCTTGGTTGTTTCTAAAGACTCATTTAGTGCTAGTTATAGTGTGGTCACTAGGTATAGGAATAAGCTTCCACACTCATTTCTCTCAAATTGATTTAACTCTTTATGCATTGTAAAATCCCATGATTTATCTTTTAGAGCATCGTCAATGCATTTAAGTTCAATTAGAGACAAAAAAACCGTATTCACACAAAAGTTTTTAAAAGAAGAATGAGTTTGAACACTTTCTAACGTATATCTAATGATTAGCTCCTCAGGATGAGCATCTACATACTTTCATTCCTTATGTAAAGATTCTTTGAAAAAAGATGCATCCAAGTTACTTTGGGGAGGAGAGTTTTCATTCAAATTTAAAGCATCAAAATTATTTTTCTTAATTTTTGAAAATCTCATTAAAAACAACATGGATTTTTATTGAAAATACGAAAAGTTTAAAAATGGAGGAATATCCAAGAAACATACTTTTATCGGATTTTACATTAATTTTTTTTAAGGTATTCTTTTTATTTAAAATAAAGTATTTACAACTAAAATCTTTAAAATATAAAATTTTGGATCTTTTATTGTTTCATAAGAGTTTTGAAAAATAATGAACTTATGAGAAACCTATTCATAATATAGCATGTTGTGTTAAAAGCTTCGACCTAAAAGATTACCTTTCAATACCACCTTAACACCACGTGACTTAACCTCGAGTCTCATGGGAATGGCATACTAGTAGCAGGCAACTTCCATGTGGCAAGCACGTTAACGTCTCGTGGTTCCATGCTATCTAGCCAACTAGTTGCCCCCACCATCCAATCTATACCATGTGGCAAAAAGTTGTTGAGTCCCGGACTTGTGCTGATTAGCAACAATTACGCCCAAGATTAAAGCTTCAAGTTCACATGAATAGCGCATCATTTGGAGGTAACAACACTAAGTGTCCACGGTAAAAGGGACTTCATATGTACATCACAACACAAACACAAGCACTTAAAATATATCCGACCTGTTCGACTCATTTATTGACCTAAGCATCAATGAAGTATTGTTGGGAGTGCGCTAATGTAATTTTGTAAGAATCAGAACGAGGATAAAGAAGTTTGACTTGAGACTAGGTTAAAAAATGAATCAGGTTAGATCTGAATTCGCTATCACCTCGAATAACCAAAAACTGACTTAATAATTCCTAGATTGTGTTCCCAATCATAGAATTTAGTTAGGATAAAATGATATATATATATATATATGTATATATATATATATGTATATATATATATGTCAATTTTTTCATCAGTTGTTAATGATGGAAAATATATGATTGTGGTACCAAGATCATTTCTAAAGATGCCAAATGTATCATTGTAGACTATAAAATGATAATGCAATTACATGGAAAAAGTTAACTTTTCAATGCCAGAATAGATCAATAATTGGATTTCCCCCTCTAAAGCCAAGGCAGACATCCAAACTTACCAGCACCAGAGAATCATAAAAATTTTCCAAATTGAAATGTCTCTATTTAGTTACTATTGGACTGGTTAACACTCTCTACAACCTTTATAGCATATCAAACCCTAATTAAAGATGATGCTTCATCTCTTTTCCCCTATCCAATTGTCATCATAGCTTCCAGAATGAGGCAGTGGCATAACAACTTAAGACACAAAGGACAGTGAAGAAAAAATCTGAGCTTAATCATACTTGATTTGACAATACAAGATCTGCAAATAAATAGAAGCAGTACCTTCAAACAGAAATTTACATGGCAAATCCATCAACAAACAGGACTGACTTCTGAAGCTTCTTCACTGGAAGCCAATACTAGCTGTGGAGAAACAACACCTTCCTTTCTTGCCTTCTTGCGCTCCCGCTGCAGTCGGAAATACTCCCTTTTTCTTGCTTTGTAACTATTTGGATTTTCTGGCTGTTCAACACGTGGATAAACACTAACCTGTTGATATCACATCATCAATTATTCAATAAGTCTATATCAACCAAGAAAGAAAAGAGCAGTATTCTGCCTGTGTTTCAGGCTAACCTTTTTCTTGTCCGGTCCAAATTTCTCGAACTTAACCAGCCCGTCTATCAAAGAGAAAATAGTATGATCCTTGCCTAGGCCAACATTGTTCCCAGGATGAAACTGAAACATTGGACAAATCACATATCTAAAGCAAATATTTCGATAAGATGCCATTCCTTGTAAGTAATGCCAACCAACCATAAATATGAGAGATTCAAATCAGGTAGTTCCTGACCTTCGTTGGCAGAAAGTAAATTTGCAATAATAAATCGAAGATGCCTTAAAGAGAAAATGTTGACCATAACCAGAAGTTCTAAATGGAACTAACCAAGTAGAACAGCTATATCATCGAAAGCATAAACACACATTGAAGAAACTTATGCATCACTATATGCTGAAGCAACACAAACAAGTATAGGCACAAAGACCAAAAATGCTATAAAAGAACATGAATGATTTTCTTTCAGCAGCTTCTGGTTTTACTTAAAGAAACCTTTCATCAAAACTTTAGTGATAAAGAAATGTAGGTCCAGGGACTTGCAGAAAGATATACAGTACCATTACGAATCCACAGAAGACAATCTCTCTCTCAACTCTCTCTATAATTAAAAGGAAAATGTCAAATGTTTATTTGTTTATGCCATAAAATGTGTGCTTCAACTAAAGCAGTTAGACTTCTTCAGTAAGATGTAACACCTAAGCAAAGTAGAGGTCAATTTATTACATCCTGATTATTCTTATTATATATGGCATGGAAATAAAGAACAAACTAATCCAACTTAAGAATATATTTTCAGAAAAACATTGTGTTTGACACTTCACTATTGCTACATCAAACCCTAGATATCAAAATGTTTCACTTGCATTATTTTATTTATCTTCTCACCAAATAAGAAAGAAATGAGAATTTTCTCAATTAGCCACTTTGAGTTGGTGTGCATCCTTTTCTCTTTTGACTAGAATATTAGCAAGCTTAGAGCAACAGTTGAGGATCCTTAGTTGCTTGAGCTATATACACATAACCAAGAAGATAGATTAACATACCCAGCCTTGGCACACATATTGTGCTTGAACTTCACCATGAATAAATGGTTAAAGATGTTCAGTCCATAGATTAACAAATTCATCAGGTTCAGCCCATAAAGATGTCCAGTCCCTCTCAATCTTGTACAGGGAAAATATGCTTTGATGTATTCCAACTTAATTATTGGTTGAAGATGGAACATATTAGGATTGGCTAGTCGACTATAGCTCAGTCCAAGGTGGCTATGCTTGGGCTAAGTAGTAGAAAAAGACCATCCAGTCTAGATGCTAGAATCCTCTAGAACCATTCAGGCTCGACTGAACTTGGTCTTCTCTAACTGATTTATAATGTAGTTGATACTGTTTGGTTTTGTACGCAAAGTGTAGGTTCAACTAGCCAATCCTAATATGTTCTATCTTCAACCAATTCCAACTTAATTGCAGACAGTTCTAATTGATTCAGGCAAATTCTAATTGATTTTAGCAGGTTCTAACTGTACTAGAAAGATTCCAAACAACTTTTGTCATTTTGGTCAATTTCATTGGTTGTAAAAACAAGCTACTCTCATAATCACCAGTTACCGATCTTGATCCTAACACGGTACTTGAGTTTAATACTATGGATCATGTTGTATACATCAGTTACATATATTTTATCAACCCTCAAGATCCGTCTCTTGTAGCACCCCTCTCATCTACTATCCCAGTATATGCCATAACAGGACCAAAACACTCTACAAAATTATTCTACACAACATCAAATTATTGTATGTTATTTTTGCTTTCTTAACTGCCTAATTTGACATAACATAATAAGAAGAAAAAGTTACAAACATTCACCATCCTATTGATTATCTCAATAGGGTTTAGACCAAAGTTTTTAATTTCAAATAATATCGTCCGTACCGGATGGTACATATTGGTCTGTTAGCAAACCGGTACACGGATCGCCTACTACCAGGCGGTACCGTCGATTGAGGTTGTTTCCGCCCTGTTATCGTCTTAAATCGACGGTGACCGAGGGAGAAGAAAGAAGAGGGGTGACCGATAGAGACGAAAGAAGAGGGAGAAGGGGAAGAAAGAACAGAGAGAAGAAGAGGAGAACCTGCGCCGCTCTCCCTCCTCATCTGTCGGCGACTTCTTATCTGCGCAAGGAGAAGAATCCTAGGCATCACGGGGAGAAGAGAGGCGATGTCGCCTCGCCTCTCTTTTTACTTTTATATATATATAAAAGGTTTTTTTTTACTTATATATATATATATATATATATATATATATATATAAAGGCGACGTTGTCTCTCTTCTCCCCACATGAAGCGATGTCGTCCCTCATCTCCCCACATAAGGCGACGTCGCAGATTTTTTTTTTTACTTATATATATAGGCGACGTCACCCCACGTAGGGAGAAGAGAGGCGACATCACAGAAAAAGATTTTTTTTTACTTATATATATATATATATATATATATATATATATATATATATATATACACACACACACACACACACACACACACACACACACACACACACACACACACACACACACACAAAGCGGTATACCGAAATATACCGCTTAGTATACAATACCATACCGTACCGAGCGAATCTCAAAACTCCGGTACAGTACGAAATTTCAATCCTTGGTTTACACCTATCATGTCATATACTAAAAGGTCCATCCTTATCCCATCAACACTAACAAGCATTTGGAGTCCACGATCCATTCCCATGAGACAAGTAAAATGGTTTAATAGTTTCATCAAGAATATGTCCCTCAACTTGTGGGCTATTCAGATATATCATCTTATAGTTCAATAAGCGACCACTTTACATAGACATTGGCCATAATTGTGGGCATGTGGTCTGAATCTTTTCAACTTTGTCAAAAAAGAAAAAAGTTAAACAAATATTTGAACACATGATGGCTAGTGATGTATATATGAAACCACCACAGTTATATTCTATCAAATTTTATTTTTAAAGTTAAGCAGTTATCCAAGGCCAAAGAAAACACCGGATCAAAGTCACATGGATTTAATGATTATAAACAAAGATAAACCTGCTAGTCTTCATAATTATGCTTGCTTATGACATATTCAGGACATGTTGCCAATGTTGATCTTCTGCAACAGGCTGGTTGACCTGATATTCAGCACATAAAAGCTTCTTTATGATATATGTGTAACCCAGAAGACCAGCAACTGACAATCACATATCATGCCTGTTTATGACAATTTTAGCATGAATAAATTAAATAAACAGAGTTTCAGATAGGCTGAAATATGCTGATACCACATTGCTAAGGTTATCCCCAGTCAATCCCATGCAGAGAAGCATATGGTTTTAGGTGCACACATGACACTTCAACCAACCTATCCAAATTGAACCTATACTTTGATATAAAAACAAACAATATCTACTATCAAGCAGCAAATCAGACCAAGTTCCAAAACCAGGCTCATGAAGATTTTTTTAATCAGAGTTCAAGCGAAGCTGATCCCAAGACAAGATTGAGCTACACATAGACCAAATCTTGACTACCAATTTGAGGTGGCAACTTAAGCGAACCCCATGAGCACTGATTAACCATCTTGATCCTAAATCCTGTAGTTAAACTCAATCCCAAAGGTTCAATATCTTAAAGGAATGGGAATAATAAAACCTCCATAGTAGGCTCAGTCAGGAGATAGAGTTCCCTTAACATCTGTCTGCAGTCTTAAAGAAAACACCATATCAAAATCACATCATATGCCATCCATTTCAACGATGAGTAACAAAGAGAAACCCGTTGCCCTTACGTCCACATCAAGGTGTGAGAACAATCACTGATAATCCAATGGACTTGTAGAATTATCACTAATGATCCACTAATCCAGTAGAATGCTAGAACCATCCAGCTTCTCCCCTTTACATAAATCAAATTTCCTCCATGCCAACTCTAAAATGACTTTGTTCTCATCTCCCCCTCACCCCGCTATCATATTCGGCATATCAAATGAATGGCGGTGGCAATCCACCTGAGTACTCAGGGAACAACACCTTAATTTTCCGTGATTTGATTCCTTTCGTACAAAATGCAATGCAATCATGACCACAGAGAAAAAGAAAGATGAAACCGAATGCGGAACTTGCTAGTGACGAGTTGAGTTCAGTAACAGAGTTCTCATTAGGATCTGATACGAACATAGCAATGGCTGAAACATTAACCAATTCTATATTAAAAAATCTATCATCCAGCAGAAAGATTCAAACAAGAACTGAGGTCTGTTACCTTGGTTCCGCGCTGCCGCACGATGATGGCACCAGGCTGGGCGACCTGATCGCCGTAGATCTTGACGCCGAGCCGCTTCCCCCTGGAATCACGGCCGTTCTTGGTGCTACCGGCCCCCTTCTTGTGCGCCGACTCGATCGTCAGTGGGGACCTCATGGGGAAGGAGATGGAGGTACCGCTGCCGGGGCGGGGCAGCCCGAGGTCACCCCTGAGGTAAGAAGATGCGGAGCTCGACCCCAAGGAGAGTCCCTTGAAGGCGCCTACGAGGTTGAAGGCCACGGTCGCCATGAAAACTAGGCCTTCTTGTTTCTCTGGTTCACCAGAAGGAGCGATAGCCTTATCTCGCTGGAGATAAGAGGGCAAACCCCAGGAGCTATTGGAAGGAAAACGGTAACCCTACGACTTGCGGTACGACACAGTTAGGTGTCCCCCACCACACTCGTGCATTGGATATGCACCTCATTCTCGAGTGGTCATTTACGTCGCTGTCTGTAGTTAGACATAAGATCTGAAACCTATTAGAATTCACTAAATGTACTAAACCTATAAATGCGTACAACAAGATTATTGATAAATCCATTCGTAGAATCAATGGTTTCTTAAAGCACTTTTTATCCCCAATTAGAAATGCCATGTTGATCAATTCTATGCTTAATTTCATTCCTCCTCTCTATTGCTAGTTGTTGGACCAGTAATAGATTTGCTAACAGCATCTTTAAATTCAGCAAACATTTGTTTAGGATAACGCTTCTTTGCATAGAAAACTCAAACTTCTTAGTTGGGATAATATTTAAATAGGTAATATCACATAACTGTTAGATTATATGATCATATTTAATTAGATAAGATATATTATATATTTTATTAAATTCTGATTATGATTATTGATTAATAGAGAAAAAACTCTTCATGGAAAAGCTCTCCGAATTACTGATCCTAGATCATCTACTCTCATCTATAAAAGGATAGGACCTCTCAGTGACTTAGTGCGGAGACATGAATATATGATATTATTAAGTGATTACAGATCTTCTCTTCATATGAACCAATCATTGAGAGATTATATATCTTCTGTCATCTTCTCTTTGTCTCTAGTTTATTACTCATAACGGTTCTATAAAATATAGGAAAAGAGGAGAAAATGAGTCTAGCTTTTTTTTTTCTTATACCAATTTATATTCTTTCTCTTGCTTGTGACTTTTGCTTATGATTACTTGCTTATTATTCGCTTTACTCACAATCATTACTCATACTCAATATTTGGTTAATTATATTTTTATATAGATTTTATGATCAAACTTTAAAGATGATTAAATATAGCACTAATTCATCCATCGCCACTCCCCCTCTTAGTGCCATTAAGATTCTAATAATTGATATCAGAGAAAGGTTCTCTCATTTATATTAATACCTAAGAAAAAATAAATAATATTTTTAATCAATTAAGAGGGACACTCTATCATACGTCTTATCATGTTTAATGGGACAAATTATATTTATTGGAAAACATGAATGAGAATTTTTTTACTTTTAATGAATTTTGATTAATAGAATATTGTCGAGTTTGGCTTTCTAAAATCTTCTAAACCAATAGATAAATGAAATAATTTTGATAAGAGAATGTTTTATTTAAATGCTAAAACTATAAATACTTTATTTTGTGCTTTAGATAAAAATAAGTTCAATCGAGTTTCAACCTATGACACTCAATATGATATATGACAAACACTTGAAATCACTCAAAAAGGTACAAATAGAGTAAAAAAATTCAAAATTAATCTTTTGCTTCATAGTTATATATTAAAAATTTAAATTTTACAATAGTAGTACTGTTAGAGCCTATAATTACGGTGGTAGTATCACCCAATATCAGTAGTAATACCGTTTTTACCTCGAAATTCAGAGATTTAAATTTTTTGGCTCTATTTTTAAGCCTTTTGAGTCTTATAAATATCTCACTCCGGCTTAGTCGATGGTGCATCTATTTCTAAGTTTGTGAAGTGTTATAGATCTCTCCTTGAATATTGTTTGTCTCTTTCTCCCTTTTGAGTTAGTTGTGATACTAATTATAGGAGGTGTGAGATCTTTTATAAAATAGTGAGCGTAGAAGTTCTCTCCTAAGCTTATAAAAAAATAAGTTATAACAAAGGTGGTTGATCTTCGCTCATTAGAAAGAAGATCGGTAGTGAAAGACGATGGCCTTGAGAGAAGAGGAATTGAGAGTAGATGTAGATTAGGAAGACCAAACCATTATAAATTGATTTGTTTTCCTTCTCTTACTTATGACTTTTGCTTGTGATTACTTACTTATTATTTACTTTACTTGTAACCCTTACTCAAACTCAATATTTAGTTAATCATATTTTTTATATAGATTTTAAGATCAAACTTTAAAAATGACTAAACATAGCACCAATTCATCCCTCACCACCCCCCCCCCCCCCCCCCCCCTCCCTCACCCCTCTTAGTGCCATCAAGATTCTAACAATTGGTATCAGAGCAAGTTTCTCTCATTTAGAATAATACCCAAAATCGAATAAATGATATTATTAACCAATTAAGAGGAGCACTCTATCATACGTCTTATTATGTTTAATGGGACATATTATACCTATTGAAAAACATGAATGAGGATTTTCCTACTTTTAATGAATTTTGATTGCTAGAATGTTATCAAGTTTGGCTTTCAAAAATCTAATGAATAGAATGATTTTGATAAGAGAATGTTTTCTTTAAATGTTAAAATTATGAATGCTTTATTTTGTGCTTTAGATAAAAATGAGTTTAATCAAGGTTCTACTTGTGACACTGCACATGATATTTAACAAATACTTAAAGTCACTCAAGAAGGCACAAGTAGAGGAAAAGAATTCAAAATTAATCTTTTGGTTCATAGTTATGAATTCAAAATTCAAATTTTAAAATAGTAGTACAATTAGAGCCTATAATTATCATGGTAGTATCACCCAATATTAATTGTAGTACCGCTTATACGTAAAATTCAGAGATTTAAATTTTTTGGGTCCTATAAATATCTTACTCAAGCTTGGTCAATGGTGGATCCATTTCTAAGTTTGGGAAGTGTTATAGCTCCCAGTTTGAATATTGTTTTAGACTCTTTCTCCCTTTTGAGTTTAATTGTGATATTAATTATAGGAGGTGAGAGATCATTTATAAAAGAGCAAGCATGGAGGTTTTCTCCTAAGCTTATAAAAAAAAGAAAAGTTATAATAAGCATAGTTGATCTTCATCAATTAGAAAGAAGATCGGTAGTGAAAGATGATGGACTTGAGAGAAGAGAAATTGGGAGTGGACGTAGGTTAGGAAAACCAAATCACTATAAATCAATTTGCATTCCTTCTCTCGCTTGTGACTTTTGCTTATAATTACTTACTTTTATATTCACTTTACTCGCAACCCTCACTCATACTCAATATTTGGTTAATCATAATTTTTATATAGATTTTATGATCAAACTTTAAAGATGGATTATATATAGTACTAATTTATCCCTCGCCACTCCCCCCACCCCCTTCCCCTCTTAATGCTATTAAGAATAAATGATGTTTTTAATCAATTAAGAGGGACACTCTATCATACGATTTTTCATATTTAATGGGATGGATTATACCTATTGAAAAACATAAATGAGGATTTTCTTACTTTTAATGAATTCTGATTAATAGAATATTACCGAGTTTGACTTTCAAAAATCCTCTAAACTAATAGATGAATAGAATGATTTTGACAAGAGAATGTTTTCTTTAAAAGCTAAAACTATGAATGCTTTATTTTATGCTTTAGATAAAAATGAGTTCAATCGAGTTTCTACTTGCGACACTACATATGATATTTGATAAACACTTAAAGTCACTCAAGAAGGAACAAGTAGAAGAAAATAATTCAAAATTAATATTTTGGTTAATAGTTATGAATTTAAAATTTAAATTTTATAATGGTTGTACAGTTGGAGCCTATAATTGCCATGGTAGTATCACTCAATATCAATAGTAGTACTACTTGTATCGTGAAATTCAGGAATTTAAATTTTTTGGCTCTATTTTTGAAGCTTTTTGGGTCCGATAAATATCCCACTCAGGCTTGGTCAATGATACATCTATTTTTAAGTTTGTGAAGGATTATAGCTCTATATTTGAATATTATTTTGGTCTCTTTCTCCCTTTCGAGTTTAGTTGTGATACTAATTATAGGAGGTGAGAGATCTTTTATAAAAGAGTGAGCGTGGAGGTTCTCTCCTAAGCTTATAAAAAAAAGAAAAGTTATAACAAACATAGTTGATCTTCGCCAATTAGAAAGAAGATTGGTAGTGAAAGTCGATTGCCTTGAGAGAAGAGGAAATTGAGAGTGGATGTCGGTTGGGAAAACCAAACCACTATAAATCGATTTGCATTCCTTCTCTTGCTTGTGATTACTTACTTATCATTCACTTTACTCGTAACCCTCACTTATACTCAATATTTGGTGGTTAATCAAAATTTTTATATAGATTTTATGATTAAACTTTAAAGATAATTAAATATAGCACTAATTCATCCCTCGCCACTCTCCCCCCTCCCCCCCTCCCCCTCTTAGTGCCATTAAGATTTTAACTGTTGGTATTAGAGCAAAGTTCTTTCATTTAGATTAATTCCCAAGAGAGAATAAATGATATTTTTAATCAATTAAGAGGGACACTCTATCAAACACCTTCTCATATTTAATAGAATGGATTATACATATTGAAAAACATGAATGAGGATTTTTTTACTTTTTATGAATTTTGATTAATAGAATATTATCGAGTTTGACTTTCAAAAATCTCCTAAATCAAACGGAATGATTTTGATAAGAGAATGTTTTCTTTAAATACTAAAACTATGAATACTTTATTTTGTGCTTTAGATAAAAAGAGTTTAATCAAGTTTCTATCTATGACATTGCACATGATATATGACAAACATTTGAAATCACTCAAGAAGGCATAAATAGAGTAAAAGCATTTAAAATTAATCTTGTGGTTCATAGTTATAAATTTAAAATTTAAATTTTACAATGGTAGTACCGTTAGAGACTATAATTACGATGGTAGTATCACTCAATATCAGTAGTAGTACTGCTTGTACCCCAAAATTTAGGGAGTTAACTTTTTTTTGCTCTATTTTTGAAGCATTTTGGGTCTTATAAATATCTCACTCGGACTTGGTCAATGGTGCATCCATTTCTAAGTTTGTGAAGTGTTATAGCTCTCTCTTTAAATATTGTTTTAGTTTCTTTCTCCCTTTTGAGTTTAGTTGTAATACTAATTATTGAATGTGAGAGATCTTTTATAAAAGAATGAGCATAGAGATTCTCTCCTAAGCTTATAAAAAAAA